CATAATTACATCGTAACAAATGAAAAAAATAACAAAAAGAAATTTTTTCATGATCATATGAGTTTGCCGGATAACATTTATTTATGACAAATACCCTATTGAAAAATTTTACGGAAATTTAAATGAATAAGCAAATTCCGTATTTTATATACGGAATATGCCTGGGAAATGATATGGAATCTATAAAGAAATGCATTAATTCTTTATGCATATTCCGTATATAAAATACGGTATTATACTAGATATTCCGCATAATTCATTTAAATTTCCGTAAAACTTTTTTCATAGGGATAGCAGTAATGAATTATAAAACTTCCCGCTATGCCTATCGCTATTTATATCTTTTACTCTTAATAGTATAATAATCTAATTATAATAATAATCTAATTATCTTGTTAGCATGATAAGAATATTTTAGTAGATAATGGTAGATTAATGATCACAGATTTTGGTTTGTCAAAAGCATTAGAAAGTAACTCAATATCGATTATCGGTGGAAAGCTCGCTTACACTGATCCACGATATCTTGATAATCCATTTAAATTTAAACGAGAAAAACCTTCTGATATCTACAGTCTTGGCGTACTTTTCTGGGAACTATCAAGTGGCTCACCCCCTTTTAAAAACACATCAGATCAAGTAAAACTAACATTTGATGTAATTTCTGGAAAAAGAGAAACTCCAATTAGTGGAACTCCAATTGGCTTTATGAACCTTTATTGCGATGCTTGGAATGGCGATCCAAATTTACGCCCTAGTATATCTGAAATCCGTCAAAGACTAAATAATATACTAAAAATGGAGCCAGTTTATTATAATAGCCAAAATATTAATGTAGATATTTTAAGCAATAAAAATATAGATTCTACACAAATTGAATTCAGTGGCATAGGCAATAATAATATCTCTATTCAATGTTCTAATTCAATAGGTTTGCTATATTTTATTTAATTAAAAAAAAAAAAAGAATATTATTTTTATTAATGAAATTTATTTATAATCTATTTTATAGAAAAACGATTCAATCAATTGCAAGTTGTTGATCAAGATTATTTTAATCAAAATTTTAAAAACTGTCGGTACGAAAGAGAATCACTTGGAGAATTCGAAGACTTAAATAAATTATTAGAAATTAAACAAAGTGATATAGATATATTAAGGAATCGTGGAGAAACTTATTTAAAATTAGGCAAATATGAGGAATCTCTTATAGATTTTAATAGCTTATTAAGCCTAATTCCTAATGATGCAACTGTGTTAAATAATCGAGGATTAACTTACCAAGTTATGGGAAGATATAAAGAATCACTTGCAGATTTTAATAGATCTTTGGAAATCAGACCAAATCATGCAATTACATTAAATAATCGTGGATTAACTTATAAAAAAATGGGGAACTACAAAGAATCACTCGTGGACTTTAATAAAGCATTAGAAATTGATCCAAATGATGCAATTATATTAAATAATCGTGGATTAACCTATATGAAAATGAGTAGATACAAACACGCACTTGTAGACTTCAATAAATCATTAATTATAGATGAAAATAATGCAATTACGTTAAATAATCGTGGAAGAATTTATCAAAAGATGAAAAGATATGAAGAATCACTCTTAGATTTTAGTAAAGCATTAGAAATTGATCAAAATTATGCAGATGCATTAATTAATCGCGGAAGAACATATCAGATGTTGGGTAAATATGAAGAATCACTTGTAGATTATAATAAATTATTAGAAATTAGACCTAATAATGCAGCTGCATTAAATAATCGTGGAAGAACTTTCCAAAAGATGGGTAAATATAAAGAGTCACTTGCAGATCTTAATAGATTATTGGAAATCAATCTAAATGATGCAGCTACGTTAAATAATCGTGGGTTAACTTTTCAAAATATGGGCAGATACGAAGAATCACTTGAAGATTTTAATAGATCATTAAGAATTAACCCAAATAGTGTAATTACATTAAGTAATCGAGGATTTACCTATCTATGCATGAGAAAATATGAAGAATCACTTCAAGATTTTAATGAAGCTTTAAAAATCAATCCAAATAATACTGTTGCATTAAATAATCGTGGATTAATTTATCAATATATTGGCAGATATGAAAAATCACTTACAGATTTTAATAAATCATTAGAAATTAGACCAAAAAATGTGGCTACATTAAATAATCGTGGAAAAACTTATCAAAATATGTGCAGATATGAAGAATCACTCATTGATTTTAATAAATCATTAGAAATGAATCCAAATGATGCAGTTGCATTAGATAATCGTGGATTTACTTATCAAAAGATGGGTAGATATGATGAATCACTCGCTGATTATAATAAATCATTAGAAATCAGACCAAATGATGCAGTTACTCTATATAATCGTGGATCAACATATTATAATATGGGCAGATATGAAGAATCACTTGCGGACTTTAATAAATCATTAGGAATTAATCCAAACAATATATGGTTATTTTATAAACGTGGATTAGCTTTACAAAATATGGGTAAATATAATGAATCACTTGAAGACTTTAATAAATTATTAAAAATCAGACCAAATGATGCGGCTCTACTAAGCTTTCGAGGATTAACTTATCAAAAAATGGGCAAATATGAAGAATCGCTCACAGATTTTAATAAGTCATTAGAAATTAATCCAAATGATTCAACCATATTAAACAATCGTGGATTAACTTATCAAAAAATGGGCAGATATGACGAATCACTTATAAATTTTAATAAATCATTAGTAATCAGACCAAATGATGCAGTTACACTATGTAATCGTGGATTCACTTATCAAGAGATGGGAAGATATGAAGAATCACTTGCAGATTTTAATAAATCATTAGAAATTCAACCAAATAATTCATTTACATTAGAAAATCGAAAAAAAGTTTGTAATATACTAAATAAAAATAAAAAATTCATATTTTGGTGATTTAAAAATTTTGTAAATATAATATATATGTCGTATGTCGGAATGGACCTAGGTTGTTTCTAAATAAACATAGGCTTTAATAGAATTCTAAAATGTGCCTGAATCGATAAAGAATTCCAATTCAACCTACACTAAAATTATGTGTATTCCAAATTATTTCATCGAGTATATTGTTTTGAAATTTAAGTCGCTTAAGACAGAGTTTATTTATTAATTAAATTAAAAGCATTACATGAAGTTTTTACATCCATAATTAATATTTCTGCAGGGTACATGTTTTTTTTTATTTACAATGATTTTTTCGCACGCGCTTTTTTGCATTTGCATTTAATATTATCTACTTTTGAGGAAGGTTGTATAGTGGAATGCTTACATGTGTTGAAAAAAATTTTGTTATATTAAATTTTTGTGTTCGTTATATCTGAAGGTCATTATAGGAACGTTTATATATCCAGAGTCGACTGTACTATAGTATCTAATTCTAGAAAATTATAAGTAATCCAATAATTTCGGATTTGTATCCAAGCAAAATATATCTTGCGGGGGAGTGTCTTTCGATCTTTTTCTTGCATTCGCTGGCTGGATCTATGTAAAACCTTAATACAAAATCAAAGTCTTCACATGCTATAAAGGTTTTACGTCGACTATTAGTCGATTTGCTGCTAAGATATTTGGAAAGCATTTCTTCAAATGCATTATGAGGCAAATATCCATAATCTTGAGATTTGGTTATCGGATAGAGTGTTTCTTTCTGCAAAGGACGAAAAAGTTAAATAATAATATAATAAAAAATTTGTATTTTGTCTTGACAATTTATAATGACGATATGATGTAATTTATTTAACAATTATTATGTCAATCAACTACACATTTATTGTGGCATCGAAATTAAAATTAACCTGATATTACTGTAAGTTTACGATTATCAAGTACAGAAGTCATAGGCAGATATTCGTATGATTGGCAGTTTAAATCAATTTAATTTTACATTATTTATACAGTTTAAAGTACTTTTTTAAAAAAAAATAAAACTACTACGAATAAACAAAAAAGAAGTATATAGAAAGTTTTATTAGGGTTGTAGGGCTCCACTATCAAAAATAATCAAAATTCTTTTTTGTTTTAGAGAAGTTAGCATGGTGATAACCTAATTTTAAGAAGTCGCTACTATGC